GGCAATGTTTTGCAGGCTTTTGGTATGGACAGAGCAGTGCAACGGTGGTTTCACATGTGATGGCTTTGACTGCGGGAAATAATTTCAGTGTCAACAAACACGGTTGCAGCACAGTTTATAATGAGTAATTTAATACAAAATGTTACATGTCAATAATAAGGGTCAGACTAACCTGCTACTCTGGAAACTGTGAAGGAATTAGCACTTTGATATTTTCTGTCAAGAGGAAAACGCATAATATTCACGAGACATGTATATTCTGTTATCAAATATCATCAGAATCAACTCATTGTGATATGTTTATAATATATTGTCTCACCCTACAGACTGGACTCCGTTCTTGTTGGATTTGATGAAAAAGTCCTTTCTGCCTTGTCTTGTTACATCCATCCATCCTCCATCATTATCTATGACACCAGCATGTAAACCAGCTCTGCACACACTGGATTGCTGCAAAAAGATCATTTTATTTACAACTTTATTTACTTTAAAGGCGTTGTAAGCAGGTAGCACTTTGATATCTTACTCAAGGACACTTAATTGACCAATGTAAGAATAAACCCACCCAGCCAAACTACATGATTTGGATTATTCAGCCTGAAGACTTGTATATCAACTTGTGTACTTACCATTTCATAGTATACTGTCCCAACTACTTTTCCAGTAGCATCTAGGCACCCAGCTGGGCACTCATATCTGCAAATGAATACAGGAATAATGTGACAATGTACAGCCCATTTCGTGTTGTTTTTATTGTATGTCGTCTTAACTGTACCTATTACATGGTGTTCCTTTACACTGATCTCGAAGCTTAGTATCACAGGTCACAAGCTGAGCTGAAAAACATAAAACATCCTTTCAGTGCTCGTGCAGGAACCAACATGCATGAACTGGCTGCTCTGGTGCAAACAACCAGTTTCTAAAAGCCCAAGTTGAGTGAAACCAAGTGAAGACTATTGTTGTGATGCTTCAAGGACCAAAGAGAAGAATTCCTGCAACAAGGTTCAGGGTGGTCAGCAATACTGGAGGAAGTGTCTCAGCTTACAAGTGCAGGCCCCTTGCACTGCAGAGAGGAAGCCATTTAAAAACCACAGTGAGCCCCTCTCACCCCTCAACCCCTCTCAGCCGGCCAAAAGCAAACATACACTCTGGGGATCGTGCTAAAATAGACCTCCCCTCCCTGCTCCAAAGAGTGACTTGCAATATTAAGTACACTTCAGAAACTGTCACTGTTAATCAGGGAGATGACAGATAAAGGCTACAGAACATCAAGGCAATTTTAGATAAATTGCAAGAAAAACATTTCCGGTCAAGGCCTATGTTTTGCGCTTGTTATCCATTATTGCTTGCTTAACACTAAGCAGGCAGCTATTCACAAATGATCTGGTTTTGACCCAACTTTTAAAAAACAAAGTTCTATTCTGCTTGCCACTTGCACCTCCCAACCCAAAACCAGATCCTACACCTCCCATTTTAAGTTGAAACTAGATCCAGGATAAACAGTTAAATGGCAGCTTACACATCTGATGTGTGTTCACCACTTCATTCTTCTGCAGGTCCACCGTGGGGGGCTTGGTGGGGGCTGGGGTGGGGAGACTGGGAGGCTCAGGCTTAGGGGCCCTAGACCGGGGCTTTTGCGGAGTACGGGGGGCCTCCGGCTCGATGAAGTTGTTTTCTTCCGTTTCCTCTTGTGGAGGGTAGGAGCTGTCATCTTCAAGTAAAGTCACAAAAACAGGACATAGTAAGCACATTTTTCCTCAGGCTTTCTAACTCTGTCTTTCTCTATTTCCCCCACACATACCTTTATAGCAGAGGTTGTCCTTGCAACCTCCTCCATAGCTGGGAGGACAGGCAGAGCACGGAGTCCCGTGTTTGTAAGGCGCATGGCCCCACCAGTTTCCCCTGTTCAGGTCACATAACAAGCAAGGCTTATTAAACATAACATGTACTACTTAAGCAAAATGTATGTGTGTGACCATTCTGAACTTCAACTAAACTTTCAATATCAGCAGCAAATGACACTGTTACATTAAAATGACACAAGAACTCAATAGCCTGTATATCAGCCATGCAGCTGTGAAAGAACATCACAACAAATGTGCTTACTTTGGTGAATAGTTGCAGACAAGATAGACGGCTTTGGCCCAAATCTGTCCCCACACATTCATGTTGTAACACATGTTGATGGCACAGCCTATCCGACTGCTGGTGGCCCAAACCAGCTGCAAAAGGATCACAAGACAGACTGTGAAAAACTGAATATTAAGTCTTAAGTCATCCAAAATGGTGTGACCCAGATCTAGCTACCTGCGTATAATGAGTACAAACTGGGCCGGAACATCTGAAGGGGCAATAGGGGTTACACTCCTGAGGGTAAGGGAAGGAATAGTCTTTCACTTCATCATACCAGGCCTGCACGTGGAACGTGGGTGGACGATACCTGTGGAGATGAGTAAGCATACCAGTGACAATAACATTTCTATTACCTTGTGTCTCTGTCTGTGTAGGAGTTGGTATTATGCATCAAAGCTGTTCTCTTCTTACTGTAAGTCCTTTTTCAAGAACCCATATGCACACACAATACCCATATAGTAGGTGACCTTTAAGTGTTAGAATATATTTAACTAATTGTCCTTTTATTCGTGCAATACAAAGTAGCTCTATTCTTTAAAAAACCACAACATTATACAAATATAGCAAAAGAGATAACATACAGCAAGCATGTCATAACTTCAAAATATGGCCTGACAAAGTGACTCAAGACCTCTGCTAAGGGCACTGTACACTAACGTTTATCATAAGACTAGAAACCAAGTAACCATTTGTTGAATGCTGAAAAATATAAATAGGAATCAAAAGATTTTGACAGAAATGACACTCAGCTATACAACAAAGAAGTTACCATCTGTAGCTAGCACCCATTGGTAACCCCAGCAACATAAACACATCTGTTAAGACTGCTATTAATCAAACATTTGTGCTCTTTGACTAAACTGCAGTAAACCAAGGTTTGACACTGATTTGGCACCAGGTGTCCCTAGTTAATCTTATTAGAATCAAATGGACATCTTGACTGTGGAGTGATCTGATTAGATGTGGAACAAGAGTCTCTTATGTAAAGCAGTATGGTTCTTAGGCGCTCCATGGGGGACTGAGTGAACAAATGAACAAGCAAATGAACACATGTACTGTCTGTATTGTGTGTGATTTCACTTGCCATTGCAGTACAGCTAGCAGTTGTGCTAAACTAAAGTTCACTAAAATAATAAGATAAAGAGATGATTACAGGGACAGGAAAGAATAAAAACCCAATTCTGCGAAACAACTTCAGAGGAGAACAACTCACAAACATCGGAAATGTGAGACCCTAACCAGACACAGTTTTTTAAAAGGGGTTTAATCTTTAAGACAATTCTAACTTCAGTTTTTTTATGTAAAATCTGAATCTGAAAAATAACTGTAACTGTTAAATACATGTAGTGAAATACAAAGTACAATACTTGTGGTGCTAAAAGTGGTGGAGTAGATGTATAAAGTAACCTAAGTATAAGTACAAGTACCTCAAAATTTAACATACAAAACTTTTACAGTGCAATTTTAAGTACAGTATTTGAGTAAATGTACTTTTTCTTTCTTCCAACTGCATTAAAGAAAAGGCCGCAATCATCCTGTCAGATGCTGAGATCTTAAATGTTTTCAGCAGCTCAGTTTTTACCCTCAGTCTTTAATTAAGTAAGCCTATTTATGCAGAAACTGTGTGTACTCATTTATTGTTTACCTTCCCCAGTGTGCTCCCAGGTTCTGTCCAATTTGTGGCAGTAAACCTGCAGGACCGTGCTCCCACAGACAGGTTTCTGCCCACTCTTCTGCTGTACGCTCCAACTCGGTGTCCCAGGCCTGCACAGGAGATGAGATGGAAACCAGCATGAAGTAATTTTCTGGATTATATGTTATAAGAAGTGGAAATAAACCAATCCAGTGCAACACAAAGCCACTTGTATTGCTACTAATGAGCCGTAATATGTAGCAATGTCAGGTCATAGAACAGCTAGTGACTGGAGATATTCATTGCGTTGCAGGGTTAGTTCAGCTGTCAATGATGTGATGTGAGGTGGTATTCAAACACACACGGAATGAGGATTAGTTATCATATGTTATGATAAGTCATAAGGACTAGGAGCTGTTATGGCTGCGTAAGTGCATTAATCTCTGCACTAAATGCAGGACTATGTTGGCGTGTTGCTGCTGCTGTATAAAGAGCATTTGGACTTTCTTACTGTTGCTCAGCTGACTTTCCCCAGATGGGTTTTCCCGTAAGATTGGGTGTTATTCAAAAAATGCAAAAGCTGTTTTTCCTTAAGTAATACCTTCCATATGTCTCTAGTGAGATGTCTGGGTGAAAGCTTTTGTTTCACTTTACCTCTCTCTGAATTGCCCTCAGTTAAGTTTGGCTCTGGTTGGATACTAAGGGATCATATTCCCATTCTGGGGTTTTCTGGGAATGCAAAGAGTGTCCTTCCTCTCTGCTGACCTAGATTCTACCATAAAAAAAGTTAGAATAACACCAGCTGTAATTCCTCTGAAGGACACTGTATGTTCCTTTAATTGCACACCTTCACTTTCACCTTCAGCGTGGGATATCTAAAGTAACAGGTTTCTACAAGAAAGTCAATTAGTTTACGTGCGTGTGTGTGCATACATGTGTGTCTGTGTGTGTGTGAGCACATGCATTAGTATAACAGCAGAGGTGTCAGAAGTTTTCACATTTCACACGTTGGGCCCTGGAAGTCATAGCTTACGCTCACTGAAATCTCATCCAATAACAGACACTAAAATAACTCCCCCCACTTCCACCACCTTCCTCCGCAATCGTCCGTCACCCACTTTCAGTCCCACCAGAAACAACTGCTGCTCTCTGCATTACTCTCGAAACACACACCTACCTAACAACAGGATGTCTGGCAGTGCTGCAAATTAACTCTGAACTCTAAGCAGTTTTCTTCAGCTCTTTCTGGGAAGTCCTAGCGGCTGTTGAGAGGACGTATTTATTTAAATCAACACCGCCATGGATGGTAATATTGGCTAGCTCTTATATGATTGCACACGTGTTATGTCAGATTTCAACACAAAGCCTTGTAGAAATGTTACATAACTGGCATACAGAACAAATAAACGGTTGGAGGTGTGGAGTATGTGTTTCATTCATCTCTACACCTGCAAAGAGGGAGAGCGTAGCAGTGTTATAGCAACCTCATCTGTAGTTTAGCCTGTAGCCTGTGGTCTGTCTTGCACAAAAGGGCCAAATGATGACTGACAGAGCTAGGGCTAAAACAGGAATGAGAATTTGTTTACCTGAAACTCTATCTCTGCTCACAAATTACCTCTGTTGGCAGTGAGTTGCAAATAAATGTCAGTATTGTCATATCTGTTTTGTAATGCCTGGTTATCCCCCTTTGCCAGCATAATAGGCTACAAACAGAAACACTGAGGAGATTTTAGCCTGGTCATCGTCAGCAGTGGAAAAGTGCAGAAAGAAGCCGCTCAACCTTGTTTTCCATCTACGTCATTTTCCCCTTCGATTTTTCTTGACAAGTGACCTCCTTGCACGAAAAAATAATCAATGTGTACACTGATAAGCAGACTGAAACACATTGCATTGAGCTGTGGTAAGTGCCAAACGATCTGTAAGCCACAGCACATTGGACGGTCTCTACTTGAGCGGGGTCAACACAATGTTTTTGACCATTAATGAATGGTTATGGGTCACAAAACGTTTAGCTGTGGCCACAACTACTGTAGCTTCCAAGCCAAAAATGACCAAAACTCTTCATAGTTTCTATCACAAAGACATGATTTGCGATGCTCTTGAAGCATGTCCTCTATATTAATAAATACAAGCAGCAACTTCCAGCTAAGGAACTCGTTCCATCGTCCCCAAACTTGCAGAGAAAGTGCTGCAGAGAAAGCAGGCTCAGAAAGTGTCGACCGAGACACATATTTTTCAGCTGTTGAATCTGGTACAGAGTACAGCCGGCTTGTCAAGATGCCGTTGTTTGCACAGTTAGCCCAGCAGGGGAGGGCTCGTAACCAAGACCCCAGCCTCTCACCCACCACCCACCCTGGCCGCACTTCTGCTGGGGCCCGTAAAGAAAAACACCTCCCCTGCTAAAGTCTTTCACCGCTGTGCACACGGCATTGTGTATTTCATTTAACACTTCATTTGCGGCCGGGTTTTTTTTTTCGCTCTCTCTCTTCCTTGGTCATCTGGTTGCATTCCAGAGGGTACTTCCTTTGCAAGTTTGGCTTTCCTGTTCATAATCAATGGTGCATGCAGAGAAATACTAAAAAAGGAAGATATGGGTATTGGAGAAAGTTAAGTTTGAGAAAAAAGTAGAGAAGTTAAATAAAAAACCTGTCAGACAATAGAGGACAAGAGGCGATAAGATGGTATGAGAGCAGCAGGTAGGTAGGAAGAGTGATCAATAGTAAAGAAAATGTGTGTGTATGTCAAATTGTCTGCCCAAACTACTACTTTAATTTCCCATAGCAATATAAAGTATAGAGTGTTTCATGCAGTGCATTCCAGCCCATATCAACTAACATCAGAGCTCCTGGGGCAGACCATTGTCTGGATTTTGTCAACCAGTGAATACCATTATCTACCATTATCATGTTATAACAGGAACATAGAACAGCATAGCCAATTAGGCTTGACGTGAACAGGAAGCTGTCTCACTTAATGGGCATCATAAGTGAGCCACACAAGGGGTCAGCCTGATATTTTGATTTGGTCTGATATTGGGTTTTATATCTTGGATATAATAACAGTATAGTCCAGTATTCTGCAGGTTTTTTTAGGTGGGGGATTGTTGTGGCCTAAAATGAGTGATTTCACAGAAGTTTTTTGCGTGTTGCAATGTTTTTAGGCATAGTTTTGAAAGGAAATTATAGGAGAAAGCAAAAATCGCAAAAATAATTAATCGCTAGTAGTTGGTGACGTATGGCTCAATGTTTTATTTGGGGGACTGCTATTGTTGGTGAAACTCGTAGGCAACTACAATGATTGTTCAAGCAGAATTTGTGGGGATTAGTTAAATTTGTGCTAATTGTTGCACTTGCAACAGTGCAACTTCCTGGAGGGACTGTAAGAACAATAGTCACATTTCTATTATCAATAATATACAACCAGTAAATATCAGCCAATCAGCTACCAAAATATAACCTCCTCCAGAGCACAGCTGCACTAAAGCAGTCTGGACACTGGCAATAAGTAGCAGAAGAAGAAAGGCCTTTTCTGAGCCTTGTTGGCACAGGCAACTCCAGAGTCAGCACAGAATCATCAACAGACCAAAGGACTGCAGCTGCAGTACAGTAATCACAGCAGTGAAAACCCAGGTATGGGAGAGCTTGCTACAAAGGATGACTTTCGAGTGTCCCTACAGAGGTTTTAGAGAAAGTTGGTGAGTCAGTAATGGAAGGCAAACTTTAAGGGACTTCTAAATCTAAAAGACATTTCCATCTGGACAGGACTAATTTGATATATGCCAAACAGGGGTATGTCCTTGGCACACCTTCACTTCTGGAATCAGAAGGTGTTTTCCGGTAGTGAAGGACAAGCAAAGAAGAAAATAGCGTTAAGCCTCAGGTTGAGGGCATCGTCCTCATTAAGCTTTTGTGGGATCATTGGAATTTGCTAATTCGATCTACATATGTTTTGTGTCGTGCAAAGTTTTATGACCATGTTTCCTGAAGTATTCGTGAAGGTGCTATTGCAAAGAGTTATGTTTACATTCTTGGCTTTACATCAAGCAGGTTGTGGACTCCCACAAGGGTACACCTTGTTGCCTCTTCTGTTTGTGATATTCGTGGACAGGATACAGCCTGTGCAGGTGAGGCCCAGAGAGTCTCCAGCTTTGTGACATTAGGGTGACATCTCTGCTATTTTGGGATAATGTTTCTGGCTCCACTGGAGCGTGACCTTGGTTGGAACACTCTTAGCTACAGTAAGTGATTTGGGAGAATCAGCTTTTTTTTTTCATACTATGGTATTCATCTGCTGCTCTTTACTTGTAGAGAAGCTAGTGAACTTTCTTTCCCTTTAAATGTTTGCTAGGTGTAACCAGCTAACCAGACCTGGAGGAAAACCCCAAAACAGAGTGAACTCTGAGGTAATCTACAGGAGAGGCACTGGAGTCTGACTTTAATTGAATTGACTTAATTTCATGTGTTTGGCTATTGTTTTCATCTAAATATTTTTTTCCCCTAACATTGAAGCTGTCTAAATACTGTCCCACATGCTTATCTACATTATCATGATTAAATATCTTAGGTAAAGTTAATTCAAGGCAAATTTATTAGTCTAGACCTTAATTATCGTCTTACTGGCAGGGCCACATAATTCGACAATGACTTAAAATGGCACAACTCTGACGCGTCCCGAACAGACGTTAGTCAATATGGCTTTATCTTAAACCACTAACATCACCACCACCTCAGACCTGAGTGCAGCCCAGCAAAGCCAAGTTAAACATCAAGGCAGGTGGGGCCCTTTCTACCATGATGCCATCTGTTTGTCTTGCAGCGCTTCAAATACTGACACTCCTCTGTTTATACCTGTGGGTCAACATTTGAGTGAGAGGCAGAACTGCTGTCGCCCTACTGAAGGTGCATTGAAGCTTTGTAGATCGCTATGGAGTGTGAATGCTTATCCGGGGAATTTTTTGGGCCTCTGTGTCGAATAATGACAGAATGGGAACGGAGCCACAGGGATAAGAGAGAGGTAGGCAAAGAGAGAGAGGGCAAGAAAAGGAAACAGATGAAGGGGGAGGAACGAGAGGGATTTGAATTGATGTTATCGGTGAGTTTCTGTGATGATTGCAACAGAGGGTCAGCCGGGGTGTAGTTTGATACAATGGCAGACAATAACGGAGCTGATGGGCAAATGGCTATGTATGGGCGCATGGATATCTGCGTGAGTCTGTGTGTGTGTGCTTCTGCATGCATGAGTGTGTAGGGAGAGCAGGGGAGCATGTCTATGAAGTCTTCCAGTACAGTGAAGCTGTGAGGTTTCTGAAAGGTGACAGCAGTTCAACACAGACAGCAGGAAAATCTGAGAAATATGGAGCCCTTTTCCAAATAAAGCACAGAAAAATCACTGAAAATCCACTTTTACATGTGACCTGATCAGTTTCTTGCCTGGAAGATATTAAGATCTACGGAACTGCAAATAAAATGTCAGTGCATATCCTTACAAGTCATTGTCTTTTTACTTTGTGCCCTTTCCAAATGTGTCCATCTCTCTTTTCTCATTTCCTCTTGCCTCAGTCTTATTTTCTTTTCAATTATTTTGACACCTCTTCTGCTTTTTTCTGTCTTTCCATGTGCCTCTCATTTGCTCTCCTTTCTGTGTGCAAATCTCCTCTATCGCAGCTTGCACCTCTATTTTTATTAACCTGCTGTATTCCTTGCTAGCTTTTGCGCTCTTCCTCTCAACTCACGTCCTCTTGTTGCATGCCTCTCCATATTTCACCCCTGGGTGCCCCTGAAGCTAAAAAAACCAGCCAACTGTAACAGGAGACAGTAGAAAGGAGCTGTGCGCTGCTGGCTCAGCATTTCTCCACTAGAGTGTGCCTCAACCAGAAGCCTGCCAGGCAGAGTGGTGCTTTCACACACGTACATGTACACACACACAAGGGGTCCTCAAGTCCAACCTCTCAATTATACAATTACACAGTCCAGCAATTGCCCCCAGCAGGAACTGTTTATTTGCCTTTACCACAGAATAATACTGCCTTTTGTTCTGTAGCTCTTTAAGCGGAGATGAAAGGATGATAAAACCTCATTACCTCCTGCACACTGTATTGATTTTTAACCTTCCTAAGTGCTGTTGGTGGCAATGCTCTGTGGCGGTCAAGCAGTGCCTACATATGTAGTGTGCTTGGAAAAGTTCCAGATCTGTGGAGCGCAAGGCTTTCAAAAGGTGTGGTGTGCCTGTGCGTGTATGTGTGTGTTCAGTGGGGGGTAGACAGCTGGTAAAACAAGCCCTGGTGCCGTGCTCTGATTCTAATTGCACTGTGAAAAGTGATCTGGCACTGTACACGCATGTGATGGCCAAAGGATAAAGTCAAACAAATCTCTTAGCGCAAGTTAAAAAAAAACCCAGTAGTAATGTGATCATTGGCAAGTTGGTGGAATTCTTCTCTTCTGGCAAAACAATCAAAGTCACATGGGTACAGACTTGTGTGTTTGTGTGGAGGTGGGAGGGGTGTGAAGGTGCTTAGATGCTGGCTTGCTGCTCGTGCATGAGCCAAGTGGGACAAATGCCAGCTGGTCTGGTGACTGGGTCAGTTGACTAAGCTATATGGTCCGCAAGTGTACAAGACTCTTGGGGAGTTCAGAATGGGGTCAAACTGTTTCAATAAATATAAACTGTGTAAAGCGTAAAGGCATTTCATGGGAATCCTCAGTCCACCTACCATGTACTCCATGTTAGAAGCGGGAGGATAAACCTGGCCTCTGAGCTTGTTGTGAAGATCCAGGATGAGCTGAGCGTCACTGTCGGTAATGGCCCTCTTCCCCCTCTGCTTGGCCTCCCACCAATCCCCCTTCTCATCCAGATACTTGTCCAGGATCCGCTCCCAGCCTGTGGAGTTTGAAAGCATCACCATGGAGGTTGCGGTCTGGAGCAGCAGGAGCAGGGACACGTCCCTCAGCCAGTGCGGAGATACATGCCTCATCCTGGTAAAGTGGTGATGGTGGTGATCCTCACAAACTCAGGCAGGACGTTTAGGGGTTGAAACGAGGTCCGGGCCAGCACAGAAAGACACCCTTCTCCGTCTACAATGTGAGCTGGCAGAGGAGCCGAGAGCAGAGAGCAAAACAGGATTATTGGAAGGACTGGAACTGGTGCTCTGTATCAAATTTGCTGAATAACTTGAGTCAATATTGAACTTGGTGAGGACAGTGCATTGGCCCGCAGACACTTCTGTCTGCTGCATGGTAACCTAATGGGGTTCACTGGGGGTAAGCAGGCAGACTGTGGGATGACTAGTGAAAGTGTGGATTATAGAACTTCCTTGAAGATTTTACAACTTTTTTCCTAAATAAAAAAAAAGGGAAAGACAGTTTGGGAACTGTTCAAAATAAACACTGCATTCCAAATCACATTAAGCAGTACAGCTGCAATAAATGTAGTTAAGTGCACAGAGTGATGCATAATGTTAACTAATGCATTCACGATTCTGCACGTATACATATACTTTGAGTTGAACTCTTTGGTATGCATGCTACAATGCTGACAGAGGCTGATTAAATGTGCCAATACTTAATGGAAAAATGTGAAGAGTAATGCATGTTGAAATAGAAATGGAGTGTTTGATTTAATGTAGACTTTTTGGAAATAATTTACCTTTAATGAATTGGAACGCAGCCCTGCCTCCTTGCGCTCCCTGACAGAGATCTGGCTGTGAGGAAAAACTTGAGCGGCAAGAAGAAGAAGAAGAAGAAGAAGAAGAAGGAAGAAAATCCGCCTTCAAAGTAAAGTTGCAGAGCTCAGGTGGAGCGGTGATGGCTGTCGCTGGCTGCCATATGACCTAAATCAAAGACTTGAAAATGCTTTCGGCTTCACTCCGTTCTCATCAGGTTGGAAAAAAGGAGAGTGGCTCTTTCTTCTTGCGGGATTCTTGCGCCAAAGCCGCTAAAGCATCACTTATCCACATTTTATCCTCAACTTGGCTGCGCTTAGAGAGAGCCGCCCCTGACCCCGCCTCCCCAAAAAGGTTGGAAACGGCCCCCTCGGTTCATGCCAAGACCTCTGTGCGCGTCCGGGGTCGTGCGTGTATACAGTAGCCTATAATGTAAGCAGGAGGTTTTCTTTCTCCCATGTTATGCTCAGCAAGTTTTAAAAAGTCACAGAAAGTCTCTATTCCCCAGCAAAACCAGACAACTATAACTATATAACTATATAACTATAACTAACTCTATGTTAAAATATTCCTCCAGATTTTTGTTTATCTTAAGTATTATAAGACTTTTCCAATGATATTTGCATCTTATATATAATTTAGGTTATTCCTTTGGTAATGGTTCATACTCACAATGGTTGAGGAAGTATTTGCATCCTTTGTGCTAATGCCACACTGTGAAAAGTAAAAATCAGTGATTGAAAATTGCAAGAAAAAATAAAAAAGTGTGTAAGTATAATCAGGAAAATGTACTTAAAGTATTAAAAGTGACTGTGACACTATTAGGCTATAGATTATATAGATTATTACTCGTGCATTAGTGTAAAAGCAGGATTTTACTGTAGCTCATTTTGAACTATTTTGTATTGGACTGATCAGTTTCATTATAGATTGATCTGGTGATTATTGTGTCTGTAGTAAACTAAAAAGCACAAGATTTCCCTCTGAGATTTAGTCCAAATAAAGAGTTAAAGTGAAGTACAAACACCTCAATTTCCTCTTAAGGAGAGTACTTGAGCAAAATGTACATTCCATCGCTGCATCCTCAGAATGTAGACTTAAAGGTTGATGGCTGACTGTTGCCCTCTTACCTGGTAACTGGCTTTGGTCAAAAATACAATAATTTAAACCAGATCTGCCTCCTCTGTGGGGCCTGGCAGCAAAAGTGGCCCCATTCTCCCGAGTCTAACTGTTCACAGGTGACTCCTTGGGGGGATTAAAACACAAACCAACTCTCTGTTAATTCCAAACCCTGAACTTGTCGTCACCGTTTCCCCTCGCGCCGCAACACAGTGCAAATTCCATAATGGAAACAGGCAGGTTTTGTCTTTTGTCATCTGGTCATTTTCACTGGTAGCTGTGGCACATGTGGAAACAGTAGCTAATCACCAGGTCTCTGTGTGTTTGCCCCCTGTACAGACTTACTTTCCACAGGGGGAGACACAATCTTCTTGTGTTTTACCTGACAAACATAATAAACCCAAAGCTGGCCAAGCTGACCATGTGCTGGCAGTGATTTTCTCTGTCTTTGTCCGTAAATCCCCTTGTTTCCATGACTCCCTAATGTTTTCATGGTTTTTTTTATGCCCTTAGCCCTTACCCATCAGGTGATTCAGGGACTGGATGGGCAGTCTTGATGCTTAGTTATGGACATATTTGAGCTTTGTAAGATTCATACTCTGTCATGTTTCAGATTAAACATGGTCACTGGAAGCTAGGGCTTGGATTCAATGTAAAAATGCTCCATATATAAGTGATATGCCTTCAAAATCCCATAAAGTAAACAAAAATAAAAAAACATACTTAAAGTGTCAAAAGTTGACATACTCATTCCACAGATCACTGTGTGTGACTAATATTATTATAGGCAGGTTGTTAATACTAATAATAATACTATACTTTTAATAATATAATTCATCAATACATAAATAGCCTTTAACTGATGTAGCTGGTAGAGTTAGTTTACAGTGGTTACTAATTTAGAAGTTGGGGCCCCACTGCTGTTTAACAAGATCTATGTGAGGGGTCCTGAGATGATTAATCGGGTATGGAAGAAGAAAAAGCTAGACTCCGAAACATGGAAATTTCTCTGATGTTTACTTTTTTCGGCTTTTTATGCCTTTATTTTGATAGGACAGCCGGAGACAGACAGGAAAGGGGGGCAGAGAAGGGGATGACACGCAGCTAAGGGCCACAGGTCAGATTCGAACTCTGGGCCGCTGCAGNNCCACTGAGCTAACCGGGCACCCTCTGATGATGATCTGTGATTTGACCAGTTTGGGCTTCAAACTATTATGTTTACAAAACAAAACAAAAATCAAAAAAGTTATCAGTGACTGTTAAATAGATAAATGAGTAAAAAAGTCAAATATGATCCACTGACATGTAGTAAAATGGAAGTATAAAGTAACTTAACTCAAGTAAAGTACTTCAGAATTGTACTTAAGTACAGTGCTTAGTTAAGATGCACAAGATCAGAAGACCATAGATGTGTATAAAACCATCTCTTCCAGGGCACCTCTGCTGTCTAACCTACTTTTGTATATGTACAGAATGTGATACAAGAGCTCTCACATTGGGGACCCACCGCATTCTGAACTTCCATAAACCCAGGGTTTACTGTCTGCTCCCTGGGTCAGTAGCAGGGGCCTCGGCCACAGCTCCAGCAGCGGCCCTCTCTCTGCGGTCAGGCCCGGCAACCCCCACCCCCTCCCCCCCTCTTACACCGCAGCTGAAATAGCAACGCTGTTGCTTTGCCCACAACTCCCAGGAGGGAAGCACCGCCAAAAACACTCATTCATCTGCAATAGAATTAATGTTGCTCTACATTCAGATTTGGGGGAGTGTGTGTGTGCTTGTGTGTGTGTGTGTGTGTGACAGGGAGGAAGAGAGTGCACATGTGTCTCTGTTTGACAGTAAGAGAGTGAGAGGTGAGGCAGCGAAGGAGTGAGAGGGTGCATGTGTGTGTGTGTGTTTGTTGTGTTGGTGCCTTCATAACATTTATATATGAGTGAATACATAAAACATGCAATCATTTTAAACACTCAAAATAAGTTTTATGGGCTTGGTATATGAAATGACTTACATTACATTAAGGTTATGGCTGAGATACACAAAGACTGACTGTAAGAGCATGTCTCTGACCCCGACTCTGAAAATGAAATTGTGTGGATGAAGGAAATATTTACCAACTGCTCAGGGATTTTTATGATTTACAATGTGGTAATTTAGGTCAAGCCATCTGTAACAGACGAGACATTCTGTGATTAATGTTTATTACAATGCCTGCCAGTAAATATACACTATTTGCGCCTGCGGTGGAGCAATATAAATGATTTCATGCCTGGGCTTCTTCTGTTAGCAGCTCTATCATCCCTTCTTTTTTATTGCATCTATTGTTTTCTACTGGTTCCTTCTGTGCTGTCTGTCTTAATATTTCACATTCCTCCTTTCTTTCCTATCTGACCTCCTCTCTACCTGTGTGTTTCTGTCTGACATGTGCACACACACCACGGGATACGTTCCTTGCGTCTCTCTCACACACACATTCACTTTCCATTTCTTGGCTTCTGCTCTCTCTCTCTCGGTCTCTCTCTCTCTCTCTTCTTGTTGTTTCTCCCCTTCGCTTTTTCTATCTCACCCACACAGGCATTGTTAAGCCACGGGTCCAGATGCTCCATTCGGTACCTCCTCCATTCAGCATGTGGTCTTGCGAGAAATCCCATGAACCCAGCAGAATGCGTGCCAGACCCCGCATCCACACAACAGTAGGACTGGACACAACAGAAAACCACACAAACACTCTCGAAGAACACTTTTTGTTGGCCCATGTTATCTGGCACATTGCTCCCTAATGGTTCTGGTTGAGCTGAATTGAGGTCAGAGCTTTGGAACCGGCGTCGAGGTGAGAATGGGAGTAAAGAGCATCAAGGTCATTTGGCAGACGTTCTACATCATTGCTTTTGTGACATTATCAGCAGTGTTCAGCAGAAGGCTGCCTCAGATATCTACTTCAGGTCAGTTTGACTTGACTGTCTGCCTCTACCCCCTTGTGGTGAAGGGATGCCAATGCATCTGTGAAAACAGCACAGTATTGTTAACTTGTAAGCTTCTGTGATTAGAAATGAAGGACACAAAGCAGTTATTACACCCACCCTTTCACTTTCCAATTTCCATGAAAAGCACATTGTGTTTATGTTCAAACGTCACAAAGAGTATTATCCTTTATTTGGGTAAAAGTACAAATACCACAATGTAAAAAATACCACATTACAAGTACAAGTCCTATGTTCATAATTGTCCAATGTGTAACATTTAGCAGGATCTATTGGCAGAAGTGGAAAATAAAATTCATAGGTATGTTTTTATTAGTGTATAATCACCTGAAAATAATAATTGTCGTGTTTTCATTACCTTAGAATGAGCTGTTTTTATCTACAGAGGCAATCATTTTGAACTGCCATGTTTCTACAGTAGCCCAGAACGAACACACCAAACACTAGAAAGTTTTGCAGCCACCGTAGTTTCTCCTACACGATTGGCTGCGCTGTATACAAATGAATGCAATCTGTAACCTTCACCACTAGGTGCCACTAATTCCTACATGCTGGTCCTTTATAATACTCATAAATGTTAGATTATATTACTGGATTATAATTACTGAGCATTTTACTCTTGTAGTTGGTAAGGTGGAATTACTTTAAGTGTTTTTCTTTCAACCCATTGTCTCCCACATTTTTTAGCATGTATAGTTCTGTCTGTTTTCCACAGTGTTGTCTGTCACAACTTGAAGAAAACCTCCAGAACATCTTCCATATGGTCACCCATATGCTAAAACATGAGGCATAAGTCTTGAATATTATAATCTTATATATTATAGTTATATACATACATATACATATGCCTGAATGAGATTCACTATGTTACATGAACTAACAATATACAGACAGCATTCATTAATCTTTAATTTGTGATCTATGAAATATCAGTAGTTTATCATTGCATAGTGGATAAAAGTCACAAAAAAGCAGCAGTTAACCACCAGGTGTCAGTGTTTGACTTTCAGACAATGTGCATCTCTTCCAAGGATCAGGTTAGAAAAGAAAACAAAAGAAAACCAAAAAAAAGTTCATGATGTCAAACCAAAATATTTCAACTTCCCCACTTTTGTACCACAAAGGCAAATCTCATCCATCTCCTAGAGTATTACAGTAAGATCTTGAGCAA